TTCAATTTTGTAGTCTCACTGCGGGTCAGCAGGCGTGACCCGTTATTGGGGATGCTTATTTCTCCTAGGAAGGAACTTTCAAGGATACGTTTTTCATTTGAGACCGATCACTATTCATTCTGTATTTTGATACAGATACTAGTCATCTGTTTATTAAAATTATGAACTATTTCTCTCACAGGAAGAAAAAAAGAAACAAGATAGTAAAGTTTTAAGAAATGTACACTATTGACTTTAAATACAATAATTGTTCGAATTAGTAAATGGTACATGACAATAATTCAAAAAAAGTTTGAAGCACATAATAAAACGAACATAAACTGAGTATTTGGCAAATTATATTTAAATAATGTGACGTTTATAATCGTTTGTAATGTTTGGGGTACAGAATTTATCCCTGGAAACAAAGCTTTAATCATCTTTTAAAAAATTTAAATTAAAAAAAGGGGCAAAGTTTCATTATGGAAGTAATATATAACTGTACAGCTTACAGATGCAGGGTTCTCCATGACTGTTTTACTATGTTGCTCCCGACACAGCAAAATTTTTTACGACACAGTAACGATTAAAATGTTATGCATGCGACACATTTTTAAAAACTCGTAAGAATATCATCCTTTCCTGAAGTTTCCCTATTTTTTCCTTTGCAATTCGGTAATTTGAAAAAAAAAAAAACTGACAAAAAATACAAAAACTTTTTAAAAGTGGTAATTAGTTTAATTGTATCGATCAGAATTTCCCCTGCTTTTCATAGCACGTGTTTTTACTTTGATCAATATGTATGACGAAAATATTTGTACATCGAAATAGTGATTTATTTTAAAAAGTGTGCGCATATGTTCCTACATGTATATAAGTTTAATGAAAAGTAATTCAGTTGCGAATTTGATTCAAAATAGCGCAAAAATTTAGTGCTTCACGTAAACTCTGCAACACAGTAAAATTTCAAATGATGGAGAGCCCTGCAGATGTATTCAGTTTTTTCAATATAAAGCTTTCTTCATGTACAAGTATTACTTAATTTATTAAAGGGATGGCTAAATATTTTGGCAAGGAAAATAAAACCGATGGGAAATTTCCGAGTTTTGCAGTTGTACTAACCTTCAAGCCAGTAATTAACCTGTCCTTTCTGTGCCAGTAGCATAATTCGATCAAATATTTATTGTTCATGAGGGGTGCCTTATAATTAATCACAGCCACCTGCATTTTTATCAGTAAATTTCTAAATTAGCCAAATATGAAACATTCTACCCCTCTATGTACAGTTTAGAGACACAAGGTGTGCAACGCCATTTTGACCCCCTGTTCAACTCAGGCTTCAATTTAACACATAAATCGGATATGCCTACTAGTTTTCGTGTAGCATTGGGCAAAATTATATTTCTCGCTATATATTTCTTCCTTAAGTTTAAATCCAACCGTTGATAATGTTATCAGCTAAATTCATGCTGACTTCAAATTTCGTCACAGGGCCCGATCGCCATCATGCAGCTACTCACGGAAATTTAACCCGACACCAAATGCTCCTAAACATAAAATTTTAAAATACAACAGTAAATTTATTTCATTGACAAACAAAATCAGATAAAAATTAAAAACCAAAAGATTATGTTGTTTTGATAGTCTTAGTTTTTTTTAACATATGTTATATGTATTAGAAACAAATCATTGGTAGAGGCTTTGTTGAAGTTTCTGTTGTCGATAGGTAGCGCCTTATGGAGGTTTCCGGTTGCCAACACATGCCATATAGCGGCTAGCGAAGCTAACCGCTTAAAAAGTAAAAATCCAAAAATATTACAAAACCTTTAAAAGTACACAAATGATAAAAACCATATCTTTTCTTAAGATATTTATAGCAAACAGAGAAAGATTTGTAAAAATTATAGTATATAACTGAGATATGACTAGTAAACTTCAAGGCAAAAAATGCACGATAAAAGTGCCGGAAAAACAAGGGTTATTTTCTGTTTCGCTGTTTCCGTACCTCGTGTTTGTCAAGGTCACGTCATTTTTTATTTTTAGCAAAACTTTTAACAACATTCAACTTGAGCATGCAAGGTAAAAAATATGTTTTAGCAATGTTTTAAAAATATTGCCTTTAATTGTTTTTCTTACATTCATTTCTTGGTACTTAATTGAGACCATTGTAACTATGGAAACTTATTCAACTTTTCTGCACACGCGTACAATGTGGTGGAAGTAGAATTGAGCAATATTTTGGGTCGGGGGCATACTTAAATGATTTTTACTTTTTTTCTCCTTAAAAAATTAATTCTAATGTTCTGAAACCTGTAATTTTCTAAAGACTAATACTTTAAGGAATTTAACAAAATTAAAAAAAAGGTCATGCAAAAACTGTACATTTGTAAATTTCCACCTTGTACATCACAGTGTCGCTTAAATGCAAGCACTTTTACCATATTTGGCTCTTAAGTCAGTTCAAATTTATTTCTAAAGATCAAATGAAAATTAAGATTAAAATTGATTTTTATTTGCTTTTTTTGTCATTGTAGATTGATTTCCGTCCTTCCAACTTTGAATATTTGTTTTATGCCCCAATTTGAGTTTTTCTTTTAATAATTTTAATCCATCACTTTCCAATGAAGGGTACCAATTTAAGCCTAACTAGGCACTCGCGATCGGAGCCATTGAGCAGTGAAAAATTTCTCTTGCCAGTACCTACTGCGATTCGGAATCTCGATTTACACGTTCCAATCCGAAGGGTGGGTCTCCGCAGTGGGATTCGGTCTGGCGACTTAATGTACATAATAATGATGTTTTTACATCATGTGTTAAGCTTGTGCTACACTCACTATGATGTCATAATCACTTTAATGTTATTTTTAGCGCCCGGATCGAAACCAGGGCGTATATTGTTTTTGTGCTTTCTGTCTGTTTGTTGTTTGTTTGCTTGATTGTTTGTTGGTTTGTCCTGAACATTAACCTTCCCAATAACATTTGGACCATTAAAGATATAGATTTCATATTTGGTATGCATACTCCACCAATTAAGCTATTTCCAATAACACCAAGATCAATGACCTTGTGACCTTGACTGTGGCCTATATGCTAAAAAAAGCTGTTTTCTGAAAACTTTAACATTCGCCATAACTTTTGAATCATGAAAGATAGAGATTAATATTTGGTATGCAAACTCCACTAATCAGGTTCCCCCAAAATGACACCAAGGTCAATGACCTTGAGATCTTGACTGTGACCTTAAGCTGAAAATAGCTTTTCAGAACTTTGTTACCGCCGGGGATAGTTTTTTACAAACACACTTGTTTTAATTATTTTACAGAAATGTAGAAAATATAGCATATTGAAAACATGACATTCAATTTTAAAGGAAACCAAAATATTATTAAAAATTAATACTTATAATAAATCTTTATATTTGCTTGAAAAAGCTGATTGAAGTGATACAATTTTTTAAATAAGAGTAGCCTGTAGGCAATTTCTTATTTAAAAAAAAATGAATGAAAATTTTTTCCTTTGATCATGTATCAAAAAAATTTTGGGAGGAAAACTTCATCACTAAAAAATTTTCCGTTAAAATTTTTTTTTGATACATCGATTAAAGGAAAAACTTGCATTCATTTCTCATCATTTAATTAGCTTTTGAATTAATGAAATCAATCTTTCTTTCCCCTTTTTATGAAATTTACGTATCAAAACAGTGCGCACGAATACATCACAACAACGTTAACGTTGCTGAAATTCAAAATGGCTCAAACGAAGAAACGTTCTCAAAATTGTCGTGGCATTACCAACATTCTCTGAAATAATTTACAGTTCTTTAACACGAAAAACGTACGTGTTGTGTTATCCCCATCGGTTTTTTTCCCCCGGTAAGTTATCCAAGTTTGTAAATTTAAAGGGAAGCACAAATATCCTAAAAGAATCTGTACTCATTCATGCAGATCGTTTTTCGCGATCATTCGTTTCCTAAGATTTAACAGATTAATGGTTTTCCTCTCTTTGGTAGCATAAAAAATTTTTTTTAAGAATTCTATTGTTCATACCAGACACCACAAAGCCAAACATTTAACAAAAGTATGTCGATTTTTTTCCCCGCCCAAAACTGTATTGTTGTAATGCAGACGATTTGATTTGATAAGCAAAGGGGGGTAATTAAAAAAGAAACGAAATAGAAAACAAGTCAAAACGTAACACAGTTTTCGAAATTCAGGAATATATTTATTAAAGAAAAGTATTTAATTATTCCCCCAAAAGAAATTGGAAGGGAAATTTCATGTAGAGACTGCAGAAGTAGTTCCGGCTGCTTAGTACAAGCGAACTCTAGATTTTATTGATGCAGGTTCAAAAGAATTTTTATACCAATCAGAATCAAGTATTTTATAGAAATTAAATGAATAAAGTGGACAAACCCAAAACTTTCTCATGTATTAAAGATACAAGGCTTATTGTTATAAATTTAGGGGGAAATTAAATAAAATAATTTTACTTGTCTATATCTGTTTTTAACGTGGACTTATTTTTTCAGTAATATTTCAATTGAATACAAGAGAATTGAAAATTTATATTTGGAGAAATACTATTTAGTACTGCTTAGCTATAAATCTATGAACGGCGATGTTTAGATACGTTTTTTTTCAGATTTTTCATTTCCCTTTGAGAAAAGTACCTCTAAAAATAACTGAAAATATGAAGTCGCAGTATGTAATTACAATTCCAAGTTTTACAAGCTTCACTACATTTAATAACAAGGAAACATGATACATTACGTGCTTTTAACTGATTGATTAGCAGTTGCTATTTTTTTTTTTTATTTTTAAAGGTTTGAAAATTTTGTACATTGGTTCCAGTTTAAGGGTAGATTATCTACTCCGCAACTCTAACTACTGCAAAACGCGAGTGACATACCCCACCTTGAACCATGCTTCGTAAATTCATTTGATTATCGATTAGCTTTGCCTAGCAATTTACTGAATTGTTCTTTCCCGAAAAGGAACCTTGATTTTTTTTTATCTTAATAGGAGTGTAACAAATACATAATAGATTCGGAGAAGAGAGGATATGAACTTGCCAAATGCAATGTCGGCAGCGGAAGGTAAACGTTTTATGTTTCCAGACAATCTCTCTCGTTGATTCATTATTTTTACACTAAATGTCAATTTTTACCATTCGATATGAATGTTCTAGAAACTTTTGCATTGTGACGACTTGATATAATTTTCCCCTTTCAAAACCTAATAGGCAGATTTATGCAAGCCATGTAAGAAATAGTTCTAGAAATAGCTGGGTCTCCAAAGAGGAAGCAGGAAGAATTCTGGGTAGAATCAAGAAGTTCTTACCTGCAGAATGGAAAGGAAGGAAACTTGTAGAAATTGATGAAAGGTCCGTGTACCCATTACCATAGAACCATAAAATTATAAGTTATAACTCTTTTTAAGTAATTAAAATCAGTTTTTTTCATTGTCAAGCAGGTTAATATTTTTGCGGTATGATCCAGGTGAATATTTCAAGCCTCACTTTGACGGCTCCTCAGTGAAGGACAATAGAACCAAAAGTTATCTCTCCATCCAAATATATCTTAACCAGGCAGGTTAAAAAAGAAATTGTTTTGATCTGAAGATTATTTGATGTGAATATTTAAAGTTCTCTATTCCTATATTTTTTCTATTTAAAAAATGAGCAGGGATTTGAAGGAGGCAGTACGTTATTTTTAGATAGTTATTCGGGAAAGAAAGTCGGCGGAGTGGAGATGATACCCAAAACGGGTAAAGTATAAGAGTATAATATTTTTTACAACTTAGAAGAAATCCTCAATCTTTCCTATTTTTTTTGTACAATGTAACTATAGAAGGATGGATAAAATTACAGTGTATAATTTAATCACTGTTTGGAGTAATTTACTTAAACCTATTATTTAAAAGAAAAGTAAATACGCATAGAGCTTATGCCTTGATTTATAGGACTTGTGTAACTTAATTTTTCAACTTTTGGATCGGTAACATTTTTTAACATTTTATATTTTTTTAAACACCACTGACCCTGAAATATTACATGCAACACTTAATGACTTCAAAACGCACTTATCAAAGCGAGGCTACTCTACTTCGGAAATTGATCATATTTTCAAGGAAACTGTCATTACAAATAGATCAAAACTTATCATCAAAAAGACTAAAGAACAGTCATTACATAAACCTACAATACTGATTACTAAATTTAACCATTGCGTTGGGAGGTCTGAAAAAAAAATTCTAAAATATAGGAACACCATTCTTAGAGATCCAGAATGCAACACTTTATTTAATTCTCAACCAATCATTGCTAAGCAAGCACAAGAATATAGGTGACGAGATAATCCGGTCTCACCTAAACCAATCACCATGATTTTATCTGTGACCCCCGATGAGGCTTCTTAATAATCGAAACACTATACAACTACTTGCATAATTCAAATCAGATATTATTCTGCTCTATGCAAAAAACATATCTCCTTAAAGTGTGGTTTGGAGTGTCGGGTCCTAATAAATCTTTTACAAATTTGGTTGATTGATGTCGCTAATTTTCACAGAAAGAAATTTTAAATGATGTCAATCTGTTGTGTATAACTACATATACTTTTATATGGTTTCAGGATGGTATATTTTGTGTTGGTGTTTATCAATGTGTGTCTGAATACGATCATTACAACAAAAATTTAAAAAGAGCTAAAATTAGCAGACTTTAAAAACATCACAGTGCTCTATACATTTTTATTCACACAGTGATATATTTTAAAACATGCTAACTTCAGCATTTTTTAAAAAAATTGTTTTACTGAGTGTTTTAAATCACACCTAGAAAAGTACTTAAAAGACAAAAAGATTTAGTTTGACAACAATCTGTAAATAAACAGTATCTGATTATAGCATCCATCCACCTTTTCAGGCTCAGTTTTGATTTTCCAACATGACATCCTTCACGAGGGATCGGAACTGATTAAGGGCCGGAAGTACGCCATTAGGACAAACGTCATGTACGAAGCCTTGTAGTTCTAGACTGACACAGGTCTGTCCTGGTACAAAGGGCGAATCCATCCGCCACAGAATTTTTTTTCAGTTTATTAGTATCTCTTTGATTATTATTTAACAACATAAATATCAAATCAACTTATGACAATTGTACATTCATTGATGGGCAAAATATAAAACATATATACAAAATGTATTTGATATCGTGTACAGAGTAATATATATATATAAATGTTATTAACGAAAAGGTTTCTCTTTCGTTTACTATTTTCATATATGAACGAAGTTTACTTTATAGCTCAACTTTTTTGGAAGAAAACAATTTTTTGCATATCTTTTATTTTTTATACATTCAATCATTTATATGTCTTATATTGTTTTATTTTCTTTATTTTCGGGATGTTTTATGTCATTGCTACTTTTTAATTTTGAGAGTTTCAGTAAAATATTTTAAACTTTACAAATTGTTTTCTTTTAAGGCCGAAGGACAGAGGATGAATACAAGTTGAACCTATATTTTGCCCTCACAAGCTGAGCGAGAAAATGTTCATATCATCACTTTCAAATTTAGTAATACAGTGAAGCCTCATTTATCCGGACGCCTTGGTTCCTAGTCACTTTGTCCGGATATGTGAAGCAACCGGTTATATGAATCACCATTTAACAAAACAAAATAACGTTTAAAAAATTCCGTTCCAATGCGAAAAACGTCCGGATACTTAAGTATCCGGATATCGGGCGTCCGGATAACTGAAGGTCCACTGTATAAACTAGATATTAATGTCAATTATAGTTATCTTATGGACGTCTCTAGTTACTTAAAATCATTGACCATTCAAATTAGTTCCAATATCTAAAACATAAGCCTTTTCTTAGTATGAAAGTGACGACGATGAACGAAATATAAGTGCGATGCTTTGGGTGACTCAATGTTCCCAGTAACCTGTTTTGAGCTCAAAATATGTATTTTCTGACAACTTCTGGACTTTTGAATTCTCACGATCATCCTCTTGGCCTTTTGAACTTTGCCCGAATGATGTATTACAAATTCTAAATATTCTTTGACCTATACAGAAAATAATTTCGGTCACTCTAGATCTTCTTCTTTTAGAAGTCAGCCCCTTTGTGATATTGGATGAATGATCCTGCAATTGTGCACCATTTTTCCCCACATGTTATAACAAATTATCTACAGGTGAAGGGATATTAAAGGAGGAGCTTTGTAAATTTTGAAATTTCGAAATGCCTTTTTTCGGCACAGAGAGCTTAAATACGGAGCAATTTCTTTGAATACGAAATACAATACGTTCAACACATTTATATTTATTGCTTTATTGTCACTGAAAATATCAAGTGTCTATCTTCAGCCGATTTGAGAAGGATATGGATATAACGAACAGTATTCAATCTCAACGTCCATTAAACAAATATACAAAATAAGAGCAGAGCAAACACGGACCTCCGAAACATCAGAGGTGGGATCAGGTGCCATGGAGGAGTGAGCATCCCCTGCCGACCGGCCACACCCGCCGTGCGCCCGTTGTCACAACCAGGAAACAACGGAAAATATCCAAGGTCAATTCAGTGTACAAACAATGGACCAACAATTGGCATGAAAAACGTCAGTCAGCACCTTATTTAATGACAAATTGCACTTGCTGACAAGGTCACCGCACCATAGAACCCACCAAAAGATGACTTTAAACGAGACTGCTGACACTCCGGTCTCACCAACCCGCCCGTCAAAAAACCCACCCCGTTCTAGAAACCGTTCACACGTAGAGAAAACTTGCTCACAAACTATCTCTCTAAAATTCACAAAAATGCAGACATCAGAACCGGAATTGGCGTAATCAAAACAAAATATTTTATGACTAGATTTTTATTATAAAAATGAAAGTTTCATGAAGATTAAGAGATCCCAAAACAGAAAAACAGCCTATCGGATCATGCTAACAACTCATATGTAAATCATGGTTTTGATATGATTTCGGTATAGGAAAATTTCACATGCAAATGAGCTAATGGATCATGGTTCTGAGATGATCTGTTAAACTTAACAACTTGCAAAAAACCATGATCCTGGTATGATCTGTTGTAGAGCTACCAACTCGATCGTATTAAAACCATGATCCTGGTATAATCTTTTGAAGCTCACTTGTATGATGAAGATGGAAATGTCGGCGGTATAGCTGCAAAAGAATTTCATTTTTATAAATAAACATTTTATATAACGATTAATATGTACATGTACAACAAATATTTGAATCAACGAGGTCAATTTGATGCTTAAATTAACTTTTCAATTCAAATTTAGTAAAGCTTTTCTATGTCTCTTCTACACATTTACAACGAAATAAAATAAATCATTCACTTGTTGGTAGAAACAAAAAAATTAAAAAAGGTCAATAATAAAAATTAATAAATTATACTCACCGAGTATAGAGTCAATATTCCAGCACTTATTTTTATTGCTCATATGATGCAAAGGCTTTTCTTTTTAAATCAGCGACAAGAAAACGCGCACATCTTGCTTATCAGAATTCAAATTCTGACCTAGATCAGCCGCAAACCGCTGTACTACAGCGTGCTGCCCGTAGGAGAATTGCATACTATGACTCTGAAACTGACCAGGGATCCAATCTTAATCTAATGCCTCAAAGCTAGGTTGGGAGTGGATCACAAATATTACATGAAGAGAAAGAGTTTTAAATAAAATCCTGGCTGCATTATTCAAACAAAATACATGTGTGCTAATTTAAATATGAATTATTGATTTTGTTTGGCATTTCATACAACGTCAAAAAATTATTGTCTTTGTAACTATACCTGTGCATGCTGTGTGCATTTTAATTATAAAAACTTAATTTTCCTGTTTTCTTTTAAATAAGACTTTTATTGATGTATGCATGTTGTTTGATTCTCCCAGCTAAAGTGAATTTAAAGCTTTCATTGTCACCTATCATAGATGACAAAGTTAACAAACCATATCAGGATCATACAACAAATTCTGACAAAGTTAACAAATCATATAAAACTCATAATTCTCAACGGAGAAGGTAACAGATCATTTGTAACTCGTATGGAGTTTAAAGACTAAGTTAAGAAACCATATCAATAACACAAACTTTTAGTAGTAAAAGTTAACGAATCATTTCAAACTCATGTTCCTTTGTTTTTAAGTTAATGGCACATGTCAGAATCACGAGAAAATCAAAGCAGAATCATTACCAAAAAACAACCACATCAGGATCATTCTTCCTTATTTGTCATCTATGATTTCAGTATGATCCAATTAATGGATCATATTTAAACAATAGTTCACAGTCATTAATTTGTGAGTTTGATATGTTTTGTATGTGATTTTGGCATGGTTTATTAAGAAAAGTTTTTATTTGGGTCTGTTTCCGAGAGATCGCGAACACAATACAGTTATAAAAAGGGACGAGAACCCAAAAAAAATAGTAGGGTTCCGCTGCAGTGAGATGCTTTAATAAATATATATTTTTCTTTTATCTTAAAAGTTACAGTATAAAGTTTAATGGAATTCTTCAACAACATGATTTTTGCATAAAAACTATTCGATTT